TGTTTGAGTGTGCAGGGACCATTCTCCGGGGGAGACCAGGTTCCTGGACAGCCTGTCTGGACCGTCGTTCAGATGGCCCGGCACGTGCGTCGCTCTGAGCGAAAGCAGGTGACTCTGGGACCACAATAGGATGCGGCGTGTCAGATGAAAGAGATTCTTGGATCTGACGCCGCCCTGACGGTTGATGTATGATACCACGGCCATATTGTCGGAGCGAATCAGGACGTGGTGACCGTTTATGCGCGGGAGGAAGCACAGCAGCGCGTTCTCGACCGCGATCATTTCCAGACAGTTTATGTGTAAGGAACTCTCGTGGCTCGACCACTGGCCGGCGGCCGGTGAGCCCTCGCAAACCGCTCCCCAACCCGAGTTGGATGCGTCTGTCGAGATGACTTTCCGGCGAGAGAAGGTTCCCATGGTAACGCCCCTCTGAAACCACTCGCTTACTGCCCATGGCTGCAGTGCAGTGATACAAGTCTGAGTAATCCTGATCATCTGGCGGCCCGTCGTCCACTCGTGGTGGGATACGCGGCTCTTTAACCAGAATTGAAGGGGGCGCATGTGCAGAAGACCCAGCTGTAGCACAGCGGAGGCTGAAGCCATATGACCCAGCATCCTCTGAAGCGATTTCAGGGATGTATGGGTACCCATCTGAAACGAGGCGGCTAGGCGCTGAACACGGCGCGCGCGCTGTGTGGATAAGCGAGCCGTCATCGTGATAGAGTTCAAATCTATTCCAAGGAACGAAATAGTTTGACTGGGCTGGAGAGAGCTCTTTGTCCAGTTGACAGAGAGTCCCAGCGCTTCCAGATGGTTGAGGAGAACTGTGCGGTGCGACAGCAGCTCCGTCTGGGAATCTGCTAGAATCAGCCAGTCGTCCAGATAATTCAGTATGCGCAGCCCCTGACTTCGCAGGGGGGCGAGCGCTGTATCCATGCACTTCGTGAACGTACGGGGTGCTAAGGATAGGCCGAACGGGAGAACGGCATACTGGTAAACTTGGCCCTCGAAGGCGAAACGTAGGAATGGCCTGTGATGAGGGTTTATCTGGATCTGAAAATAGGCGTCTTTCAGGTCTAGAGAGATGAACCAGTCCCCCTGGCGGACGTGCGCGAGGAGTTTCCTGACTGTGAGCATTTTGAACGGTCTCTTCATGAGCGCTTTGTTCAAAGCCCTGAGATCTAAGATCGGCCTGAGGCCGCCGTCTTTCTTGGGAACCAGAAAATAACGGCCGTAAAACCCCGACTCGGTCATAGATGGTGGGACTCTCTCTATAGCGCCCTTCTGCAGTAGCTTGGCTATTTCTAAGCGAAGCGTGTTCATAGCGGGCGGCTGACAGTGGATTCGAGCCGCACGCGCGAGCGTGGCGGGCGGCGACGAAACTGTAATCGATAACCATTCTTTATTATGCTTAAACCCACGGGGAGATGCCGGGGATGGCTTCCCACGCTTCGTAAGCGGTTGAATGGCGATATTGCCCTGATAGCTGCACATCGCGGGCTGGACACTGTGTGTGGGCACGCTCATAATGTGGGTGGCAACGGGACTTACACTCAGAGAGGAGTTTTATGGGCCGTGTGACAGAGCGGGCAGAGGGGGGACACGCGCACGGGCTCGTGGGCGTGCTTATGTTCTCTGCTACTGGAGCGGATAGTGCACGCTCCGTGAGAATGGGCTCTGTGAGAGACCCTGGGCATAAGGTGCTTGAGTGTGTACGTGAGCACATGCTTGTGGGCACATTTATTACACTTGAGGCTTTTATGCTCTTTTGTGAACTCTCTGGATAGCCGTGAAAACGGCTTTTAGACGCTCGCAAGCGGGCAGGGAAACCGGCTTGTTTGTGGCGGTAAACACTACTGCAGTCAGCGGTGAGACGGGGACTAACAGTGGGCGAGGCTTTTACGGCGATCCGGCCGCAGCGGGAGAAGCCGTCCTTTTTCTCAGCTGTGCTAGGCAGACTTCTGTTGATCGGGCTTCAGCGCGATCTTGGGTCGAGGCCCCCTGGGAGGAGGCTGTCTGCGGCGGCTATCTGAGCGAGAGCGAGGGCGGCCGCCCTGTCTACGCTGGGGCTGCTGAGCTTGCTGAGGCGGGCGCTGCTGTGGGGTTCTGGCAGGAGGCTCGTGAGAGCGGCCTGTCGAAGAACTAGAGCGGCGGGGCAAGAACAGATTCATGGACTGAGTCGCTTTCTGAACCTCGGAGAAGCGGTCAACGATGCCCGTGACGGCAGATCCGAAGAGCCCGGTGGGAGAAATAGGCGCGTTGAGGAACAGGGCGCGTTCTGAATCTCCCATATCGGTGAGCGTGAGCCACAAGTGTCTCTCAGTGACAACGAGGGCGGCCATGCATTTTCCCAGGGCTTGTGCGGCGGCTTTAGTGGCGCGAAGGGAAAGATCCGTCGCGCTTCTCAGATCCGAAAGGATGGGCGGGTTCCTACCGCTGTTCGCCATCTCGCACAAGATGTCGCTCTGGAGCGCCTGGATGGAATGCAGCGCTGAGGCGGCCTGTTCGGCGGCGGCAAAGGCGCGGGCAGCATGGCAGTATAACCCATCTCGGCGGCTCCGTCCACTGAGCGAAGCGGACCCCTCGGAGCGGATACGAGCCGAAAGAGGGGCATTCCAGGATTTAGTGAGCTCGTAGTGAAGCTCAGGCAGGAATGGTGCAGCCCGGCTGCAGGCGGGGGTCGAGCGCCGGTTCGGTGGTTGCTCGGGGGGAGGAGACCACTCGAGACCCAGGCGGTTGAAGGCCTGCGAAGGGAGGCGCGATAGATCCTCCTCGATGCCGGCGCGGGTCCCCGCAGACTCTCTCGTCGATGAGCCGATCGACGACCAATCCTCGCTGTCAGAAGGGTGCAGCGAACAAGAGTCCTTCTCATCCGCGGTGTCGTCGGAGGCGACAGAGCGGCCATACGGCGGCAACTGTAAGTCCGGCAGGGGCGGAGAGGGAGAGCGGTCGGTGGGCGGCGGCGGCGGCCCACATGGATCCGCAGGGGGCTCCGGCGGCCTCTGGGAGCGGCGTTTCTTCTTCCGCGGCGAAGTGAGAGGCGGCGCGGGAGCGGTTCTGACTGCCTGTAGTCGAGCCCGCAGGGAAGACGGAGGCAGGTCCTCGCAGTGGTCGCATCCTCCGTTGGCGAGGGCGAGCTCTGCGTGTTCCACTCCGAAACAGAGAACGCAGAAGCGGTCTCCTTCCTCGAGTGAAGAGCGGCATGAGCCGCAGGAAATTCGAGGCATCTTGAAAAAGACGCTCGGCTCTTTTAGGAATATGGAATAGTAAAAAGGATACGCGTCGGATGGCGCTAGCTTGCTGGGCGGCTGAAGGTGGCAGACGGCCGGCTTCCTCAGACTCCGGAGCTCGCTAGACGGTGCCTTCTCAACGACGGCGGCTTCTTCCCAGGACAGCGGATGCGTGTAGCTCGCTGAATGAACAAGAATCAACGAACGAGCTGGGAGAGCGACCTTTATACACTGTAGCCACGCCCCTTTTGGCGGGCTGTGACGCAGTAAGCGAGCGCCGTCCGCTCATTGGCCGCGGACTCAGCGCTGCTCTCCCATAGGTTCGTGCATTCTCTCTGAGCGAACCAATGAGCCGCTAGCTAGCCCGCTCATGGTCTGCCTCAGAAGAGACTGCGTTGACAATGATTACAAAATTATGGAATAATTTTTTGGCTTCAACTTCTCAGCAAAGATGAATCTTTCCCGTAGCGTAAGCTAGCTTACGCAATACGAGAGAACCTCTCGTAAGAGAACCAAATGCTACGTTTCTCATGTCACGTTACAGGCTAGCAGCCAAACAAAGCATTTTTTCATCTGCAATGCATTGCTATAGCATCACCCTCAATGGGCATCATATATCAGCATCCAGACTTTGCAAACATTAAATGCTTTAAAGGGTTGGTTCACCCAAAAATGAAAATTCTGTCAGTATTTACTCACCCTCATGTTGTTTCAACCCCGTAAGACCTTCGTTCATCTTCGGAACACAAATTAAGATATTTAAGATTTTAAGATCGCTCCTGCATACAGTCCATAGGCTTCTTGAGGGAATGACTTGCTGCCCTCGAAAAGTCATTAAAGATATTGTTAAAATAGTCCAAGTGACTACAGTGGCTCAATCTTAAGTTTATCAAACGACGAGAACACTTTTGTGCGCAAAAAAAACAACAAAAATAACGACTTTATTTCAACTATTCATTTATTTCTCCCTCTGTGCAAGTCAGGTTACTAGTTTAATAGCGTAAGCTTCTGTTATTGTACGTCACACGCATCACACACATGACCAGCGTCGGCCAATAGTGAGCCTACGTGTGACGTAGCTATATGCTATCACACTACGTTAACTGATACAGGCACATAGAGAAGGAAGTGAATAGTAGAAATAAAGTAGTTATTTTTGTTTGTTTTTGCGCACAAAAAGTATTCTCGTCATTTGATAAAGTTAAAATTGAGCCCCTGTAGTCACTTGGACTATTTTAACGAGGTTTTTAATGACTTTTCGATGCCAGCAAGAGTCATTCCCTCAAGAAGTCTATGGACTAGTATGCAGGAGCGATCTTAATATCTTAAATATCTTAATTTGTGTTCCGAAGATGAACGAAGGTCTTACGGGGTTGGAACAACATGAGGGTGAGTAAATACTGACCAAATTTTCATTTTTGGGTGAACTAACCCTTCAAAGTCATAATCATGTAGATATATTATCAGATTTATCCACCGATGCAAAACTGCATGAAAGAGACATTATTACAAACCTCTCGTTTCAAGCAGCTGTGACCTCCTCTCTCCTGCGATGTAACCACTCGTCATAACTAGATAATCCACACTAGACATACCCATACAACCTTGTGTCGGAGCTGGATTCATTCACCAAGGACAAAGATGTGTCAGGAGAGTTGTCCAGAGGTTTCATCAGAAACTGTTGGGCCTCCACACAAACTCCTCTCCACAGCCTTCTGATTCTGACATTTCTCTAGTCCACTAACAGAATGTTGTTTTGTGTTTTTCCAGACAGTTTCTTGATTCGGACATGCCTAGGTATATTACCTTCAAATCCCTCTCCTCCCATTTTATCAGACACACACACACATACAACATAATGTGTATTTTTCATCTTTTTATTTCTCTAGCCATCTGTATAATCAACCTCCATCGTTCTTTGCGTAATTTGTTTGCCTCTCATATACTATTCTTTCTGCAGTCATGTTGGTTTGTCTATTTTTTTTCTCCTTTCCTCCTACTATTTCGGAAAATGTGAGAGAATTTCACTCTCGCTCCCATGGAAATGCTTTTGTGTGTGACGCTTCTGTTGTGTATTGTATGATTTTGACATTTTTGGCACCAGGTGACTGACTGGATTGCATGGCTTGGCTTTTGTATGGGCTTCATTTTTGGCTGAATCATTTACAGGAGGTGTGGTAGAGATCATAGTCACGTTCCCAGTTAATAACATTCTCAGAACTTAACGGTAACGCTCTAAAAGTTATGAATCTGATCTTTAATAATGCTCTCAAAATGGTAGCACAAAACATTATTTATACATTGTTTACGGAACTATTATTATTATTTTATGTAACAGAGGATATTTAAAGCTAATAGTGTTCACATAACCAAGAAAATTTTGGACGTTTCAGAGAACATTATAACGTTTTCATAACTAAAGGGAATGTCAGCAAAACGTTCTTAAAACATTTTTTGTTAGCTGAATCCATTTTGACAACTTTATAAATAAGTTTGTAATCTGCGTCAGCCACTTCTTCATCAGTCAAACGTTCCTCCAATTGAAACTAAAAGCGTTTTTATAATATCTTTAATGAGTCACTCTTACCACACACGCTCCATCAGTCCCACATAAAATGAATTGCTCTTACTCAACGAATTCTCAACAAATTAGCTGACATCTCTTAATTAAAAATGTATGGTTTCATTTAAACAGTTCTGCAACTAGATCGAGTTCCATCACAAATGTCAAAGCAACACCATAAAACACAATTTCGCCTGTGTGGGGCGATAACTGTTGGCCAGACCACACACCATGAGGTCTGTGTTGTTTATGGGCGGGAGGGCTTGATCTGCTAACCTCAGTATTAATCATGAATCTCTGAACAAAATTGGTGTTATGTTAGTCCACTGATATTTATGATCTCATGCGAAAAAAAATGCGTTTATTCAAGTTTATTGACAGGTAGTCTTCCCTTGCATTCTCTGCTCACATTAGCCATTCTTTTTGTTACCACTAGAAGGTAGTGTTGATCAAATCTCTTTAAAGCTTTGAAAGACTATAAGCTAACATTTCTAAGAGCTGCTTGCAGATTTCTAATTATTAAATCAGTACAACTATAATCCAGGAAATTGCTGCTTGTTTGTAAATATAAGGGTGGTGTCGCCATAGAGCAGTATGAGAGCATTGTTTTTTTTTTATCCAAATCTGTTTTTCTTGTTGCAATGCCAGAACTGTTCCATTTGCCAGGGCTATTACAGATCACACTGAGAATTTTCATTTATCTACCATTTATTTACTCTTTTACAGTAAAATTAAATATAATGTGTCATAGTATTAAACCTTTAACCTGTAATTCACTGTACATGGTGGGAAGATAATGTACAGTTAATTAATAGGCCTAAGTGCATTTATTGCATCTGCAATAAGATATTTATTGTCAGACTTTAAATAGACATTTAGAAAATGTCTTTAAGACGTTTATGATTAAGAATTTATGTAAAACTGCTTTTTATCAGACGTTTTCCAAATAAAGGGCTCTTTAGCTGACTTCTTAGTGACGTACCTTTGCTATCTGGGAAACTTTTTTCAGTGTATAGGTGCTTTTTTAAACTTGAACTTTAGCTAATGTTCTGGTAAGGTTCACTCAAAGTTACAAACAAATGTTTTTCCAGTAAGGTAAATAGAATGTTCATTAGTTATCTGTTTGAAAAATTGCTTAACATATTTCAATGAGTTAAAGCAATGTAAATGATATCGTAACTTATTGATAATATTTTTTTACAGTGTACATAATTAATGGAATGTTTTTTTTCTCTGAAATATTTTAATTGGATATTCATCAAATGTTTTGTGTACTTCAGTACTTCTAGGCCTACTTGTTTTAAAATGTTCAAAACATTCAAAAACTAACGTTCCCATAATGTTCGTAAAATGGATCAAAATTTAATGGCCTCTAATGTGGCCGTTTTTAGGGGGGAAAAAAAAATTGTTCCCGAAACCTTTCAGAAATAACGTTTCCTTGTTGTGAATGTTATCTAAATGTTTTTAAAACATTTTATTCTATTTATATAAGTAGTGATTTTGAAAGGTAAGATATCTTCACGTAATTCCTTTAAGTAGCCTATTTATCATTCTTAGTACAGTTGTCAAGGTGACAAGTGTGTACTATTATCCACACCCCGTCATCCTCCAATGTAGTTCTTACTGTCCCGAGAGTTAGCCAGGGAGTCCCTCCTCCCATATATGTTGTCACAGAAACCAATTTTAATTTCCAGCAGTTTGGGTGGCAATGTGCAGCAGCTCAACAATCCATAAGCTATTATCTTCAATATTATTTAGGTCCTCAATGCAGGCAGAACCAATAAACTTAGAAAGAATTGTCCCTCTGTATATTTTGCCAAGAACATGAGTTACAGTTTGGACTGGCTGATATAAGAAAATTAAAGGGAAAGAAAAATTGAATGGGAAGGTAAAACAACAGGAAAATCTCTTTTATCGTGTATAAATGGGAGGTGGAAATTGTCCTCACAATCCCTCATCTTGATCGGTATGCTGAGCTTGATTTATGTGTTTTTTTTGGGGGGGGAGTTAACAATAGCGTCAGAAATGAATGGCTGGGTGTCTTCTAACTGTGTTTGTATCCTAAGCTACTAAAGCCAACTCAATTGAGTCCAGTAGCTGTTTTTGAACATGGTAGTTGGCTTCAAGCTGGTTCAAATTGGTTTGGGTGCTTGATGTGGGAACTGACTGAGCTGGTAGACCTGAGCCCAACTAAGACACATCACATCATAACGGCTTAAGGCCATGTGGTACACTCTCAGAAATAAATTGTAACTGTTACTGAGATGGTACCCTTTCAACTTTGTACATTTTTGGCTGTAAAGGGTGCATATTTGGTAAATAGTACCCTCTGAAAGGGTATCATTTCAGTGGCACTGTTTTTCTGAGAATTTAGCTGGTTTGTACCTGGTCCAAGACAGGGGTGGATCTATGGGGTGGCAGCTGCCACCCCTGGGATACAGTCTTGCCACCCCTGTTGCCACCACATTTATAAATCAGATAATATGTTTAAGTATATTTTATGTTCTACACGTTGAAGGTCAAGGAGACCCGCACCAAACTCCTGTCAAACAGCAATTACCAAGATCAGAGCCCTCTCCCCGTGTAACACCCCAAATATGTTTACCAATTGAATCTATCAGAATGATTTGTAAGTGTGAACTCGTGAAACAGACTGTTGATATTGATTACACAGAGAAAGGGTCTACAATTCACAAATTAACACCCACACCATCCAAAAACCCAGCTACATCTCTGATTTGACTCCCACTCCTTATAATGTAGGCTAGTGTAAAGAACAAAACGCATTCAATGAAAACCGTAGCATTTTAAACTATGAACAATGTCCATGGCCCCCGTCCTGAAACCTCATGCCACCCCAGGAAAAAATCTCTAGATCCGCCACTGGTCCAAGATGATCCAGCAGCTCAGCAGGTTCCCATCAGTTGCAGGGCTGTAACTATAATTGAGGAGGCACGTCCCATAAATATTCACAATAGTGATTGATCAATGTGGAGTTTTCATTTGCAGACATGTCCACAAAATACTAATGTAGAATCTAAGTGCCAGGGGTGAGTTGCATAAACTGCGAAGTCTAGTCTTACAAGTTAGTCATCAATATTTTTTTTTTCAAGACTGTTCATAACTTTTTAAAGTTGATTACATAAAAACGTACATTGATCTAATTTGATAACGAACAGTAAGACTGATTACCCCTAACTAACAGCTAGTTGGTCATACTCTCAAGACTCTGTTAACATACAGTAAAGGCTATGGTTGTGCAACTGGATTTACAAGAAACAAGGCAAACTAACCTCAGAGCGCAATCCCCCAAAAAGTGCCTATTTGAGTGGAAAGTTCTGAGCATGATCTACGTACTGACAACACGCACATTAAAGAACACTGACACAGCTGGATCATTTCCATAATGTCCAACGCAAACTCTCAAGAGCAGTTCAAATTAGCGTTTGGTTAAAGACATGCTTTTTTGGGTGCAAATAACAGTAAATTGACTAGTACAAACCTTAGTAAATCACCGCGATTCCTTTAAATACTCTGTAATGGAAACCGCTTCAATTGCATATGCTATAAGGTCAGTGGCAAAAATAACCCTGTCTACGCCTTTTCAGCACTAATCTTTAGTAAATCCTGACAGTGTTTTTTTAACGGCAAACGAGAATTTGTGCTTGCGCAAACTGTTAGTAAGTCTGTCATGGCCAAGTCATCAAGTTGTATGTGAAGAGTTCAGATGCAAAAGCCTCTAAATGCCTTTCGAAATTTTCTTCTTTAATGATGATTTTTATCAAACTTGTATATTTAAGTTCAGTAATTTCACTTAGATAACAATTAATAGGTAATTATCATTGCCATTTAAGTGAAATCACTGAACTTAAATATACAAGTTTGATAAAAATTAACATTAAAGAAGAAAATTTCAAATGGCATTTAGAGGCTTTTGCATCTGAACTCTTCATGTATTAGTTTCATAGTCCTTGTTGCAAAACAATCAAGTTAATATTTAAAAAAATAAAAAAGTATACAGTATGAAGGTTTACTTGAATCAAAAGATCAGTTAATCTTGTAATTAATGGATAATGAATAATCTATTATCCCAATTGTCAAGGGAGGATCTATTCTCAGAAAAAGGCTATACTTATCCAAATATTAGGAGATGTCTCTTCATTTTCCCCCATGGCATTACACAATTAACGACTGAGGATCACTTTCAAGTCATTCCAAATGCAACCAATGAATACATAAACGTGCCTCGTTAGGAGACCCATGACAAATGAAAAAGAGTCTGTTCCATGATACGCTACTCAATTTTCTGTCAATTCAAATAGCCCCAAATCTGCAAACTGGCTTTGACTTTTGGCAACTAGCATTGACTTGTCCTGACTGCAAAAGTCAAGAAAATTGTCATTATTGGATGAACTATCCCTTTTAGGACTAAGTAGGACGATCTAGACCTTCCCCACAGTGTTCCCCTTGAAATTTCCCCCACCATGTTTCATTATTTTCTCCCTATGTCTTCAACAAATCAATTTCCAGTACCTCTTACACTTTTTTTTTTTTCTCCAAGTCTGAATGACAGCCACAAAGCTGCCTACTGGGTCATGCCGGTCCATTCACTTTAACACTCAACATATAAAGCACACAAGCCCAATCTATCACATACCTCAGAGAAGCTCGGCCCCTCTCATGTACTTCAGACTCAGGCATTTCGAGATTTAAGACCCTTACCTGGCGTAGGGCCAAGCGGATCCAATCTGTGATCATTTCAGTGGGTTATGACCTATATTTATATAGTGAGGGAGGGTACTGTAAGCTTAAAGTTCAACAAGGTGAATATAACCTATGTGTAAGAGACAGCCCATACGGTTTTCATATAGTATTCTATTCTCATGAAAGGGGATTGCTTTAGGGTCAATATTAGTTCAGTTGTACTTCATGGAAGTCTGTGAAATCATAACAAAGCTGATGTGAGTTGGAGATCCAATTACTTCGCTTATTGAGATTAATTTGGTATATGTTTCAATACCGCAGCTTACCTCTCTGAACTGTCTTATGATTCTATCATTGATTCTTTCCTTTTCACCTAAAGCATTTCCTTGGGGACTGATTCTAGGTATAAGTGTCCACTTGTACCTGTCTCCCTCTTTGAATGGTTACGTCTTTCATCCATCATCATTTTAATTTTATTTTTTGTCCTTTTTATTGATAACTGTCATCGTTCTGCAAATCATTGGTGGTGGCATTCATATCTACTGTAGTGATGAAGCTAAAGTGTTTTTTGTTGCATGCATTTATATTGTCTTGTAGTCACAATTAAAAAATGTCACTTTAAAATATGATCTTTTTTATCAAAGTAAAAAAAAAAAAAGTTTTAGTATTGCCTTTTAGTAATTGTTTTGCATAAAAGCAGACACTACTTATTATGTATGCACATAGTTAATGCATTTAGCCTGTTCACATTTACAAACTTCTAACATTAATAAGAGAATATGTAAATTCACCATGGTCTATGTTGAAATGATGTCTTTAAGGCTGTTTTCTATCATAGGACATTCTTCCGTTTTGATGCTGCTTGGGATTCATCCATGCACAACTCTTTGCTGCTAAACCGTGTCACTCCTTATGGAGAGAAAATCTACATGACTCTGTCTGCTTACTTGGAGGTAACCAAGGCCATTTACTTATTTAGTTACATGATTTAGTTCCAGATAATTTAATCTAGCAAACAGCCAATGACATTTGTAATGGTTGAATCAAGTACATATGTGGAAGAGGGGCAAAAGGCGGTAAACCTTATGGCTTTATAGCACAACAGTTTCTGCCTAGTTTTAGTAGTTGGTTCTGGAAGTATAGTTCCTTTCATTTTTCCACAGACAAAAAAAAAAAACAAAAACAAAATAATGTTATTGAAAACTTTTTTTAAATATAGAAACAAAATATTAAAATGTTTTTGAAAGAAGTCTCTTATGCTCACCAAGGCTACTTTTATTTGATTAATACAGTAAAAACAAATTATGAAATATTACAATTTAAAATAACTGTTTCTATTTTAAAAAATGATATGTATACAGACATTATGGTATATGTCTGTATCTTAATATAAATGTGTTTATTTATAAATTTTTAGTGTCATCCTTCAGAAATCATTCTAATATGCTGATTTGGTGATCAAGCAACATTTTTTTTTTGTGGAAACAGTGCATTTTTTCAGGATTTTAATTGACTAGAAAGCTCATAATCATTTATTTCTAACAGCATTTATTTGAAATATGTTTTTTTGTAACAATGTAAAAGTCTTTAGTCTTATTTGGTGGCTGTAGAGCTCTTTTGGTGTAATTTGTTGTCTGTTTCTTTTTTTTTTTTTATAAATACGTTTAAATAACATGGACTAGTGATTTCAACAGAATCATATAGACCATTTTGCTAGATGTGAACAACACTGGTTCAGAAACACTTCCTGTTTCAGTTTGTAACTGTTTTCTTTATTTCACATGTAAAGAAAACATCTTAAAGATGTTTGTTTAACTTTTTGATTCAGTTTTACATGTTCTGTTGGTTGTATTTTATCCCAGCTTTTGTGTAGTGCTAAAAAACTGAAACAGGAAGTGCTTCTGGACCAGTGTTGTTTGCATCTTGCAAAATGGTCTATACTATCAATGAACAATCTTGGAGCTCATTGGAACCCAACTGTTGTGCTCTATAGGTGTTTCTTGTTCTTAGATGGAAATTTTAGATCGAAAAGCTCCCATTTGTTTTGTTTTTTTCCCAGATGAAGAACTGCACACAACCCACAGTGATAACCAAAGACTTATGCATGGTGTTCTACTCACGAGACGCCAAGCTCCCGGCATCTCGCTCCATCAGAAACCTCTTCAGCAGTGGCACCTTGAGGCCATCTGAAGGGTACAGCTGCTTTAAATCACAGCAGAATCCTTTGCAGTGTTCCTCTTATAATTGAAGTTACCATAAGGTTTTCTGTTGTATGTTTTTACACGTAGAAACCGTGTAACTGGCGTGTATGAGCTCAGTCTGTGCCACCTGGCTGATGCAGGGAGCCCAGGTAAGACACTAGTCTGCTTAACTGAGGATTTAAGAGATGCTGGGCAGTTTACATTTTAGGGGAGGTTCTGCTGTTGAAATGACACCTGAATGTGCAGGGATGCAAAGACGGCGCAGGAGGGTGCTGGATACGTCGGTGGCGTATGTGCGAGGGGAGGAGAACCTGGCTGGCTGGAGGCCCCGCAGTGACAGCCTCATCCTGGACCATCAGTGGGAGCTGGAGAAATTGAGCCTCCTGCAGGAGGTGAGAACATCTAGTTATTTGGTTTTTAATGTGAAATGACAAGAATGTGTCATTGGCGGCCCTGCTGAGTGTCTGAGACTTAATTTCCTTCTGCGATATGTTAGGTGGAGAAAACTAGACACTACCTCCTCCTTAGGGAGAAGCTGGAGTCCACCCTGCTGCTGGGCCAGGAGTCGCTGCTGTCCTGCGGGAGTGAAGATCTAACCGAGTCCTCTTCCCCATCCACCCACCTGGGCCTGGGCCACAGCCCCGGCCCTGGCCCCGAAACACCCAACGAGAGGCAGAAGGAGCTGGCTGCAAAGGTTTTTTTAAGATCACTTCAGGAAATCGTGAGAAAAACGCTCTTGTCAATCAGATTAACGATCCCCTTTTCTGTTTGTCCCCAACAGTGTCTGCGTTTGCTTAACCACACCTTTAACAGGGACTACAGCCATGTGTGTGTTAGCGCCAGTGAGAGCAAGGTGAAGATATTAAGAATATTTGACACTATTTTGCACCTTTTCCTTCTGTCATTTATCAACAATATTGTACATTAAGAAGCTTTTAAGAGCTCAGACCGCTGAGAATATACCGCCTTAAAAAAAAGAGTTCTGACTATTGCTGCAGAAACCTACAGAAATTAGATTTTAGTCATGTGATAGACTGAAGACTGTAGATTGAAGGAGTGTGTTCTGTTCTGTGTTTAATGACTGTTTTTCTCTGTTGTGATGTGTTGTAGCTGAGTGAGATGTCAGTAACTCTTTTGAAAGACTCAACCTCAGTGTCTGTTGAAAACACTATCACGCCGTCCTCCACATGTCCATCTCTTGTGGAGGGACGCTACGGCCACAGCACTGATCTCAGGTCAGTAAATAGTGACTGGTGTCCCATTTAGAGATTTAAATCATTTTAACAAGCTGATTTATGCAATATACAGACTAAAAAAATTCAAAAATTACAGTTTTAAAATGTTTTTTTTTTTTCTGGCCACTCTGGCCATGTACTATTGATCAGACTGAGGGGGTGTTTACATGTAAAAAAAATTATTCGTTTTGGATGATCAGTTACACGACAACGATGTTTTTGTGGCCTGAAAACACAAACTTTTCTAAATGGATTTCAAAATCCAGTTTTCCGTGTCCGTATAAACTACAAAAATGTGAAATTGTGAAAACTGTGACACCATGAGCACGCTTATTATGTGTTCAGTCTGTAGTGCATATTGTTTCTTTACAAAGTAACATCGCCAACCACTGGCTTAAGCATGCACAATGCAGCATTTTCAGTCGTTTTCGTGGATCCGGGGATCGTTTTGACAATGGTGTCGCATGTTCTCGAAAACGTTTCTGTGTTTAGTACATTGGTGTTGTGTAAGCGTACACTTAAGCCTACTTTTAAGTATACTTTGGTTTTTATGTGCACACGAGGGTCCAATGATGCAAATATTGTCATGTTGTCACCAGAATATATATATATATATATATATATACTGTCTTTATATATAAATGTATATTTTATTAAATAATTTGGAGTCTAAAAATGGTAGAAAGCCTAAAAAGTATGTCTAACCAAGTTGTGTTACAAAATGAAATTGATATCACAAAAAAAATTCCCTATAAAGGGAATGCAATGTCCAATTTTGAGTGCTTATGCTTTTGAATGAATGTCCAGTACCAGGGCATTGACAGGTACAGGCTATATTGTCATGTTTAGGAATATTAGTCTAACTAACACCATCTAACTAATACAGTAGTTAGTAAAATCTGTTTTCTTACTGCTCATATGTGTAGACCCCCAACACCTCGATCTCGTGCTGTCAGCCCCATCCCTGAGTCTGACACAGAGGGCAAGAAGTCTCCTCAACTGTCCAGATCAAGGACCCACACTTTCGTGCCAGATATTCAGGAAATCCGTGTCAGGTAATGTTCAGTCAATTTCATGAATTTACATGTTTGGAAGATGACTCTAACCTGTACTCTATTTTCTCGCCACAGCCCAATTGTGTCAAAGAAAGGTTATTTACACTTCCTGGAGCCCCACAGCAATGGCTGGGTCAAGAGATATGTGGTGGTGCGCCGACCTTACGTCTACATCTACAACACAGAGAGAGACACAGTGGAAAGGGCCATTCTTAACCTGTCCTCGGCACAAGTGGAGTACAGCGAAGATCAGCAGGCCATGCTGAAGGTAAAACATCTACAGATATTTTCTTTTCTTTGAGTAAATCAGCTGAACTGTGTAACCCAATGTCTGTCTGAACTGCAGACCCCCTACACGTTTGCGGTATGCACAGAGCATCGTGGGATACTCCTTCAAGCCAGTAATGACAAGGAGATGCATGACTGGCTGTATGCCTTCAACCCTTTGCTTGCTGGATCTATCAGGTACAGTGGAGCACATATCAAACTCTTTCACACATGCACAAAAAGACCTTAAATGCCAATGTTTGTTCAATCGTCTTCTTCCGACAGGTCTAAACTGTCTAGAAGAAGAGCCGGGCAAATGAGGTTTTGAGCCCACCACATGTACAACTCTTCGAGGACAAAAAACACTAAGGACTACTTGTAAATAGATCTACTGACAGATCCCCCAGTTTCTGTGCTCAATCAACTCTCTGACCCTCTGTTTCCTTCATGTGTGTACCTGCACCTGCCCACACTAGCACCAACTGTGCACCTGTATCTTAAAGGCCCCTTTGTTGCGCATTTACAGTGGCCTAAATATTCAACTTATAGCACCAACAGAACAGGCTAACTACTTTTTTCGGGTTAGAGATAGTATGCTAATGTAGTCTTCAGCAACATTTTAGAAAGTTTGACAATTCTGAAGCCGTCAGCTCATGCAAACACATCTAAATTTGGTACTGTGAAGAGTGAAATCCATATCTTGAGGATCCCATGGCCTTATTGTGCTACTCGACTTGCAAGTCTATGGGTTTAAAGCTGGTCGGAATTTAAGTCAGCAGACCGTGTGTTTATTTATCTCTTGGCTATGGAAGATAGAATTGATCAATGATAAGCAGTTCTTGGCAAGGAGCAGATGAATCACATCATATTACGCTCTTACTCTCTTTAAGTGCAGTTCTTGGACACAGTACAGCCCACTATAAATACTCATATACCTCTATAATGTCTCCCTTGTAAGGCCTTGAAATGCAGTTTTCAAAATAATCAGGGAAAATTTGGCAATGGGAAATTCGCTGTATGAGGACCATTATAAAGATTTGGCCTATTTTTGTTGGAGTACACTGGTCAGTAGATTTATCTAAAATGTATCATAATCCAGTCTAATATTTTATATAAAAAATGACCGGTATCCCCAAATTATCTTATATCTGTCTAATTTATTTTTACAATTTCTATTAAAGTCTTATCTAGTTAGGTATTTATTTAACATGTTTTTATTTATTTCAGCATGTATTTATTGACAAAGACTGTAATATTTTTTGAAGAAGTACAGTGCAATTTCTGCACATGACACTTTTTTTTTTTTATCATGAGTTGACTAAGCTCCATTTTGTGACCGCACTGCTCTCATTCCCCCAACATGACGAAATGCATTTGGGGAACAGGTTAGAAGTGAATGCTGGGATAGCTGCTATAACATGTAGATTACTTGAATTTTACTTTTTAGATGTTAGTTTTGCTTCAGGTAGAGAAAAATTATCATTATTGCCCAGAATCCTACATGAGTGTTGGTACAGTGGTCAGTTTTTTAGAAAATGGAAGGTTTAGAAGTTTGTTAGAACAAATGAAATGTACAGTACTGATGAAATTTTATAGACTCACCCCAGAGAGTGACGAGATATGATTTGTGCCTCTTGCATCATCAATTTTCATCATCCACTTTCAGTACCACCCTTTCTCTTTGTGTGTAATCATTCTTGTGCACAGGCAAAATCAGTTTTAATTAGTTTTTAGATCGTTTTCATATTGCACATGCCCAACAAATGACTAGGTTTTGAGATTTATAAGCATATCTACTGTAGATGGTGTAAATTATTTTTTTCCTCAACTGATTTCTTGCAAATGAACAAAAAAAATGTACTTATTCACCCAGAAACATTTTTTTTCATTGTAGGTTTTCATCATGAACTCCAGAAATAAGCCCTTCTATTGTTCCTAACATCATTTTGGACCTATTTTTTTGTGATAAAAATCATATAAAATATGTGAGGAGCTGATAGATGGCAACATGATACATTTTAAACACCATTTTTTGGTTTTAAATTTGTCACAGGACGGATTGTTGTGCTTATTTCCAATTGGCAAACCCCCTCAAAAACAGGAAGCCATCTGAGCTGAGTTCGCTGAGAGTTGTTCAATTTCAGCCGAACTATGGAATATGAAACAACACTTGAGTAATATAATACCAGCAGCTGTGATTTAGACACTTTTTGTGACAAAGCATTTGCTAGCAGGTGGAGTCCTGTAGGCCATACCTTGACTTAGGCAGTTTCTGGAGCAGAGCTCATGCTTTCCAGATGGCTTATAATGTCAGATGATTGGATGATCCTGCAAGTTGCCTAACTAACTCAAGCATGTTCAGTGCATAGATCAATTGTTTGCAAATCACCCGAGGTTCCTCCAGGGCAGCACGATTCAGGCACATGTGTATGACTGAGGCCAGCCAACCTACAGCACATGCTCAGTACAGCAAGAATCTGAAACCCTGAACAAACCTCTACTGTAAGCATTGATATGTCTATGAATTCTACATTTCTAATTCCAAAAATCAGTTACTAATATGGGTGCTAGGATGGTATTCTGTTTCTGTGAGTAAAAGCAGAAAGCATATCCCTGATATGCTTCTCAAACCCTAAAGGTTCTCTGTTCATGCACCTTTTCTTTTTTTCATACACTGTATGTCAATCAGCTTCACTTTACTTTCATGACCAGGTCAGAGTAAATATGAACAATGCCACTACCTTTATAAACTAGTGCATATGTTAATAGTAATAGCAGGTGTGTCAATAAAATTATTTAAAAAAATATATAGTTCAACTATTCACTTTCAGTTTTAGTACATACTGTACAAGCAAATGTAAATTGTCTTAGTTTTTGTCTGTGCACCTTGTAGAAAGTAATGCAGAGAGCTGGATTGTACATGTTATAGCCTGTCCTATACCATTTCTACTAGCAATTTCCATAAAACATCGCATTATCATGTTTCCACGCTAAAAACATTGCATCCATTTTACCACCTCCCAAAGTATAAGAATGAATCAGTTCTCATAATCGACACCAAATATCTGTGTGCTTCCATTCGCCTCTTATGCACAGACTCCATTCATGAGCATTCTTTTTCTGTCGTTTTCGCAGTTTTACTTGCCTTGTATATAAACATGATTGCTGTGAATGGTGTAATATGCAGTTGTAACCGGTTTGTACCATCTTCAGTGGGCAGTAGTTCAGTGTCTCTTTCTGAGTGTTGGAATTATGAGTCAAATGTTTGTGTACACTTAACACATTGTCAGATATGAAATAAATGTGGAACTTATGCAACACGACAAATGACTTTGTCTTTTGGGTGTGTTTATTGATTTTTGAGCCACTGTTTTATGCATGAGAAAATAGGAAAACTTGTTGAATAAGCGGTGCAGTGGTCCAATTCACAACACTGATCCAACCAAAACATGTTTGTTAGCGTTTGTCTATTAGGTGTGAATTTGCCTTATGACGTCAGAGCCCAGAAACCTAATTCGCCGCTGGTTCCTTTGAGATTTTCCTATGAGGTTTATAGGGTTTTTCAATTTATGAAGCCGTGGTAAACATCATACTTTTTCATTTTGTACAAAAAATTACTCGCGCCCATATAAAAAATTTATAGCAGTTCTGTTCTACTGACAGAACAAATTTTTGATAAGTAACTAGATAAACCAGCCTGGGGTGTGAGTGTGTATGCAGTGTATGCTGTAGAAAAAAATGTCAAAGTGTCGACAAGTTATGTTAATCCACAGGCTCTATTTTACTTATAAATTGAAAAACCCCAAAGGAACATTTTTAAGCTAGGAACCAGCCACGAATTAGACTTCCGGGTTCATACCTGCACCAATCTGATCTAATTTCAAGATAATAAATGGAAGCATGTTGAGAGAATAAAGTCATAATTGCGAGCTATGAACTCAAAATTAAGATTTTTTTTTAAACTTGTCGCAATTACCCTTTTTATATAGGCTATTCTGTGGCAGAAAGCTGAAATTTATGAAGGTTAATGTCATAAAGAATGACTGATTCAACGGCGCTGGCATTACTGTTTGATTTCAAGAAGAAAACAAGCAATTTACTATTAACTAGGGCACTCTACTGTACATGCCTGATCTTAATTACAAATACCACAACAACACCTTTTACCATATGCCATACAGTTTGCATACTGGAAACAAGGCTTCTCAGCACCGTGATTTGATTGGCTATAATAGCCTGTCAGTCATTTATCTTTTGTAAGTTGAGTTCTCATTGTGATATTTTCTTTTAAATCTCATTTGCAAATGGGTCACTCAACTAGGCTACAAGACCTAACTTCCTTTACATCTCTTATTTATTTTCCTTTATCCCCTGAAATCCCGTCTAATGTCCACCTTATCCCTTAATCCTTTAATTCCACCAATGTTCAAGTTACAGCCTTAATTGCTTAGGTTAGTATCTATTTAAAATAATGAAGTAGTTTTCATGCTGCTACTTTTGTGGCTGTCTATTCCTAGGTATCAGTCATTCTTTAGGTAGTGTTTATTCTTTAGGTAGCCTAACTTACTAGTAGCCTATGATTTTTCTAAGAATCTTAAATTAAAACGGTTTGCCATTCTGTCTTGCCTCAAATCTAATGAACAAAAATGTTAACTCTACTACGACGAAGGCTTAGTTCATGAATATTAATAACGTGACGTACCACGAACAAAGGCTTGGCTTATTAATACTACTACTAACGTTACTACTACCAGCTAGCTACTAGCGTTAGCCTACAGATGGGACCTTTTTTTTTTTTTTTTTTTTTTTTTTTTTTTAACGTTTACCATGTAACGGTAACGTCAGCACGATCTGATTAATATTTCATGAACCAGCCTTCGCTGTAGTAGAGAAACAGTAGAGAGAAGTGCGTTTCCGGTTCAAAGTGCAACGTGCTACGATCTGCCTGCCGTATCACCAGTTTAACCGTGAATCATTGACAGGATCAGGAGGACATTCGCTTAAGAATAAAAGGTCAGGAAATGGTATATAATTACATATGTTAATCAGGTTTATCAGTAGTTATCTCAGTGACGGTTCTTGTAAAGCGACTATAAAGGCAGTTTAAGTAGCAGCTGTCAGACAACAGTGACTCCACCAGCAGTCTATCATCTACACACAGTATGAATGAAAGTGCAATAAATCACTTGCGCGATTTTATTGCGACATTGTGTTTTATGAAACTTAATTTAGATTAAATGTCAACCTTGTATTTACCATGGCTTGTCCACGAAAAAAAAAAACCATTATGTTATGTGATTCAACAAGCTTTTTTATGGCATGACCATAGACTGTAAAAAAATGACCCGGGGCATGACCCGTATCACTGTTTTTGTGGTGCTAATACTTTTAAAGCAGGTTTTTATTGCCATGCATGTTTAGACTGATGTACAGTATTTTGTCCTTTTGTCTATCAATGTAATCCAGATAATGGCTGAGAAGATTGATACCCCTGTCATCCTGGATCATAATTTATGGGGAACCTTAACACATCATTGTGCATCTGACCTGGATCATCATGGTGTGGCTGATGGGCCAGACAGGTAATTAATATGACAATATCAATCTTAGACTGGACTAACCCTAAGTCATTCACTGTCAATACGCCACATGCTCCAGAATGTAAAACAGATTTGTCTGCTGCAGAATATACATGGACTACAACGCCACCACACCAGTCGATCCAGAGGTGATCAAGGTTATTACTGATGCTTTAACTGATGCATGGGGAAATCCCAGCAGTAATTACCTACCAGGTATGAGGCTCTTAAAGATAGATGTATGGCAGACCTCGACCACTGACATACATTTAAAGGGATAGTCTACCCTAAAATTTAAATTCTGTCATCGTTTACTCACACTCACATCTTTCTAAACCTCTCTGGATTTCCTTTTACTTACATTATATGGGCATAAAACACTGATAGTTTTTTGAAAGAAAGAAAGTCCAACAGTTTTGGAATACAATGAGGGTTTGTAAATGATGACAGGGTTGTCATTTTGGGGGGAGAACTATCCCTTAAACACATACTCATATAGTTTTCCACCAATACTAGGTCTGAATGCCAGAGACATCATTTACCATTCCAGAGACACCATTGCAAGGATGGTTGGTGGAAAAGCAGCAGACATTATTTTTACTTCAGGAGGAACTGAGGTGAGGGTTTCAAGAGCGCAGTTCAAACAGAATTTAGCAAATGTTCTTCTTTCCTTATTTTTGCTAGCACATTATTGAATGCCTTAAAAGCTGTTTCATATGGGTAATTCACATTTCATGAAATCAATAATTATAGTGAGTAAAAAAATACTTTTTAATGAATCTTTTTTCTGCAATTTCACTTCTGTCGTAGCTTTGTTCTAAACCCGATACAGGTGCGGTCACATTTACAGTTGCATGGCGAAATTTCGTAGGCAAAGTCCAGTCTCACGTGAGCATTAATTTTATTAATGTGACTGCACCATAGACTGTAAAAAAATATGGACATAGTATCCGTGATGTCACCCGTAGGTTTCTAAAGAGCGTTTTTGAAGTCTAAAGTGGGCGCCGCTGATCATCACCATCTTGGCACCGTGCCACCCCTCGTCACTACCGGATAAAATAAAATGGGCAAAAAGGCGAGATGTGGTTGGAGCTGAGGTGCTAATGCTATGCTACTGTCCTTACGCTAAAGTGACAGCTGTTTGAAGAAGTAAAGCCAGTTAAAGTAAATGTTTTTGCCCTTCGAAATACTACAATAGTTAAAAGACGTAACTAAAAGTGAGACTATTTACTTTACTTTTTTACCAACTTTATTATTCCTGTAAGGGTCATTAGTTAAGAGCAGCATGTATACTACAGTACATAACACAGATCACACACATTTCTCACAAGATACAAGCAGTCAACTATTATTATTCTGCTAGTTAAAAATGTATTATCATGCAGACAGTAATTTACAATATTGCTCTGAGCTTGTGCTTGTGACAGTGATTCGTGCGCACACATGTCAGTCAGCATGGCATCGCACGTCAAGTTCGTAAAGAGCTTTATTCAGTCCATTTTAAAATCTGATTTTTAATGTCTCTCAATTTCTCAGATGAGTTAAACCAAAGATATTACCTCAGATGTTCAAGTAAATGAACTAGAAATCCGCCCTCATTTAAGTGTGCATCTATTGCATGGATGGAGAAAAAGCACTGACACCTGCAGGATTTCATCTGACGGTACTTTTTATTTTACACTAAAAAGTTAAATAAGTATATCTGTTCCATGAGAGAAACAGTATCACACAATGAGTGTGGTCTCTATACTGACATTTTTAAATCTAAACTCCAAAAAGCAATGAAATTGTCAGACATCCATGATTAGTGCATCCATGAAACTAACTGGAAATAAGGGAAACAACTGGAAATACACCGCTGGTTGTTCACCCCATACTTGACAATGACGGAATCCAACGGCGTGCACGGGCGAAGGTATAAGTGTATTAAATTGTATGAAATAATCCCGAAAAAAGCACAAACACAGCTGAGGGTGACGGTAACAAACAGCAAACAAACGACTAGCAGTGAAAGCAGCGGCAATCCACCTGTCACTCAAGTGGCCACGCCCTTTATATGCAGAACTTTAAGGCTCTATATAATTAAAAGGGATGTGTTGTAAAAAAAAATTCACATATTTTTTTCTGCTGTGAAGTTGGGCATGTTAACCTGGGGGACATGCAGATTTGGACATTTGGACTCATGCGTCATCCGGACTCAGTTATATTAAAAAATATCCTGGCAGAGGATTGCAACCAACAGATTGAAGCACAAAAACATGCATCCATCTGTCATAAACAACTTCACGTGGCTCCGGGGGGTTAAGAAAGGCCTTCTGAAGCAAAACGACGAGTTTGTGTAAAAAAAATATATTTATATTTAACACGTAACAAAGTAAAATTCTAAAAGGTACAATATGCAAGATTTTTCGCCACCAGGTCGCTAACTTCTTACAATAACAAAAGCCGTATATTAATGACGTATATTCCACATTAATCGGAATTATAGATCTTGTCGTCAAGCTGATGGATCTTTTATAGATGAGTGAATGCATTGATGTTTTTAACATGACTGTGGTATGAAGCAGGGAGCGATTGCTAGACGTAACGTTATACTAGTGCCACACGCAACGCGAGTCCCGCAGATATAAAAGAATAAGGACATTTCATGCTACCGAACTACACGCAAGTGCTGAATTAATACTCACACAGATCAGTTTATTAGAGGAATTAAACTTGAGGTAATGCAGCGCTGTTTCACTTGCTCTAACAGTTCCACTATCACACTAAACGGCATTTGTAGAATGTTGTCAGTTAGGTTGTGTGTTGGTTCTATGAGACTAAGCTAGATCAACATTAGAGAATAACATACAGATCATATTCTAACTTTTGATCATGTTGAACTACATAACATTGATTAGTTTTATGTACATGTGCTCACCTTTTTAAAAAGTAACATGCACACTCGTGTCTAACATGTACACTTGCGTCTCTGTCAAGTCGAAGTTAGTCGTGGACGTGGAGCTCTCGGCATCTCGAAAGATGTTGGTCTTTGTTTTAGTCCTCTTTTTTTCTCAAAGTCTGCTTGCCATGGTCCATAATGTTTGAACAAAACAACAACAGCGTGACCGTCCTTCTTGGCATAACGGGCATAACCGACCCAGTTGTCAACGTCTGTCGCCATGGTTACTATTGCAGTACGAGGTCAAACCTGGTGGAAACCGGGGGGTAACGCAGATATGACGGTGTTCTGTCGATTTTTGCTGCCTTGTCGAAAAATGCTACCGTAGCGCGAATTGATCACAGAATGCCGATTAAAGTCGTATGAAATACAATTATAATACAATTCCAAGTTCTGAGTCGCTACTGTATACTGTAGACTACTGTTTTTATTTTTAAAACGGTGTGAAAAGTAAAAATTATCATAAAATATTCATCTTTGACTTGTCAAAGTACACCTTTCCTCATAGTAACTGAAACTTTCAGTTATTCTTTTCAGCTGGCTGACCGTACAAATATTCATATGGTAGTAAGCATTTTTTAAAGGGAAATTATACATAATAACAGGAAAATGTACCTTTTGGAAGGAAAAAACAAAAAAAAAAACTGTGACTCTGCACATGCGCATAACCGGTAAGTATTAAATCTCGATGGGTAGCATGAATCGTCAGAACAACGGCATTGACTGGCAACTCCTCACCCCTGCTCACACGCCCCGTTTACTTGGTGAAAATTTTCTCATGATTTACAAATAGTTGGAAACATTTGGGATATTGTAAGTAATCAGCTAAACAAAATATATAACATTAGCCTTGCGTGTTTTTTTTGTGTGGATATTTTTCTGCAAAAATCCTGCATATTGTACCTTTAAGTGGAATCCTTATGTTCGTTTGGCCGGAAGCTAGTTATTTTACTTGTGGACAAAACATTCGTGTTGGTGTGAACAAGCCTTTACAATTGAAACACTTATCCGTAACGCTTCTTGTGGTAATCCTAATGATGCATGGCGCTTGTGTTTAGAGGTGCGTTGAATATATGAAAAAAAAAAATCAGGTATTCAGAAGAAATTATTAAACTTCATCTTTCTTTCTTCTCCTGGACTTTCAGGCCAATAATCTGGTATTTCACACAGCTGTGGAGCACTTCAGGAAGAGCAAGACTTCTGCAGAGGGAGGCATGAACAGCCAGCAGCTGAATGGAAGAGGCTCCTTACCGCATATTATCATCTCTAATGTCGAGCATGACTCTATCAAACTCACAGCTAAACACTTGCTAAAAGAGGGCAAAGCAGGTTAGTTAGCAGGACTGGACTTTTGGTCTAAAACTTCAAATGGAGACATTGTTCTCTAAAGGTTTAGCTTGAGGAAGTACCTCAGTGTACTATTATAATTGAGAATACTGCATCAAAAATATGTCTATTGCTATCTGTATTATGAATGGACATAAGATATTTGTGCTTGGATTCTCGTTGTAGATGTCACATTTGTGCCCGTTTCCAAGGTGACGGCTCGGGTAGAGGTTGAGGATGTCATCGCAGCGATTCGTCCCACCACTTGCTTAGTGTCGATCATGCTGGCCAATAATGAGACAGGCATTATTATGGTGAGCGTGTTGCTCTGACAGCAGTGTGTCAAACTATTTCATAGTTAAACAATATAATGTGGCTTTGTTTTGGCCATTGGAACAAGGCTTTATGGTGAGTGTGAAATCGCTTTTATAAACAAGTTTTTTATAAACATTATGTTAAAGAGTAACTTGCATTGTAGATGTAAGTTTTGCTGTACTAATGAAAATAATACTGTAGATTTATTTTTGTGCCATGATTTAACATAAGCACTGATGAGATGTTCCCTTCAACAGCCAATTAAGGATATTTGTCAGAGGGTGAAGGATGTAAACAAACAGAGGGCTACATCAGCTCCCAGAATCCTTCTGCACACTGATGCAGCCCAGGGTATCGGAAAGATACGAGTGGATGCACACGAGCTGGGAGTGGACTACATTACCATTGTAGGACACAAGGTAAGTAACAAGAGACGCTGTTGATATCTCATCTCTCCCTAAGCGAAGAAAATTAGAGATCACAATCCTGTTAATGGTGTGTTCCAGTTTTATGGCCCTCGAATCGGTGCTTTGTTCGCGAATGGTCCTGGAACCACAACCCCTATTTCCCCTCTGCTTTTTGGAGGAGGACAAGAGCGCAACTTCAGGCCAGGGTATGACATGGTTTATTGTGGTATGTGGTTTCGTGTATGGGTGATGAATTATTGAACAGAAATTAAAATAAGTGTTACCGACTCTGAAATCAATACTGTGGTTATCTCTTTATTTCTCAGAACTGAGAACACAGCAATGATAGCAGGCCTGGGAAAGGTAAAACCCACTATATATATATATATATATATATATATATACAGTATATATATAATATCCTCATTTATTAATTAATTAATTCATTCATCAATTTATTTTTTAATTATTTCTATTTATATTATTTATTTTATTTATTTATTTTCAGTATAAAGTTTGCTGTTTGTACATGTTAAAACATTTGAAAATGTTTTTTTTTTTTGGGGTAAAGGCTGCCGAATTGGTAAGCTTAAATCTAGCAGAGTATGAAGCCCATTTCCTGGATATCCGATGTTATCTAGAGGAAAAGCTGCTTGTAAGTCTTTTTTCTGCTTTATAGATGACTGGTACAAATATTTCAGGGGATATTACTTTAGCATATACGGTTTTAGTGCTTTCAAATCAATTAATCGCATCTGATATAACAGTTTGTGTGTGTATGGGTCAAAAATTTGGAAACATTACTATTTTTAACATTTTTGAAAATTTTTGAATCTTATGCTCATCAAGGTTACATTTATTTGATCAAAAATACAGAAAAAAAAACAGTAATAGTGAAATCGTATTACAATTTAAAATAATGGTTTTCTATTATTTATTAAAACAAGATAAATGAGGATGCGGTTAAAAAGGTAATCCATTGATAGTCCTAAGTATATGTGCATGCATATATTTACAAACCCATTTCCATAAAAGTTTGGACACTGTACAAATTGTGAATAAAAACAGAATGCAATGATGTGGAAGTTTCAAATTTCAATATTATATTTAGAATACAACATAGATGACATATCAAATGTTTAAACTGAGAAAATGCATAATTTTAAGGGAAAAATAAGTTGATTTTAAATTTCATGGCATCAACACATCTCAAAAAAGTTGGGACAAGGCCATTTTTACCACTGTGTGGCATCCCCTCTTCTTTTAAGAACAGTCTGCAAACGTCTGGGGACTGAGGAGACAAGTTGCTCAAGTTTAGGAATATGCTCAACTGTCTTAGGTCTTCTTTGTTGCATCTTCCTCTTTATGATGCGCCAAATGTTTTCTATGGGTGAAAGATCTGGACTGCAGGCTGGCCATTTCAGTACCCGGATCCTTCTTCTACGCAGCCATGATGTTGTAATTGATGCAGTATGTGGTTTGGCATTGTCTTGTTGGAAAATACAAGGTCTTCCCTGAAAGAGACGATGTCTGGATGGGAGCATATGTTGTTCTAGAACTTGGATATACCTTTCAGCATTGATGGTGCCTTTCCAGATGTGTAAGCTGCCCATGCCACACGCACTCATGCAACCCCATACCATCAGAGATGCAGGCTTCTGAACTGAGCGCTGAAAACAACTTGGGTTGTCCTTGTCCTCTTTAGTCCGGATGACATGGCGTCCCAGTTTTCCAAAAAGAACTTCAAATTTTGATTCGTCTGACCACAGAACAGTTTTCCACTTTGCTAGAGTCCACTTTAAATGAGCCTTGGCCCAGAGAAAACGCCTGCGCTTCTGGTTCCCGTTTAGATATGGCTTCTTTTTTGACTTATAGAGCTTTAGCCGGCAATGGTGAATGGCACGGTGGATTGTGTTCACTGACAATGTTTTCTGGAAGTATTCTTGAGCCCATGTTGCGATTTCCATTACAGTAGCATTCCTGTGTGTGATGCAGTGCCGTCTAAGGGCCCGAAGATCACGGGCATTCAGTATGGTTTTCCGGCCTTGACCCTTATGCACAGAGATTGTTCCAGATTCTCTGAATCTTTGGATGATATTATGCACTGTTGATGATGATAACTTCAAACTCTTTGCAATTTTTCTCTGAGAAACTCCTTTCTGATATTGCTCCACTATTTTTTGCCTCAGCATTGGGGGAATTGGTGATCCTCTGCCCATCTTGACTTCTGAGAGACACTGCCACTCTGAGAGGCTCTTTTTATACCCAATCATGTTGCCAATTGACCTAATAAGTTGCAAATTGGTCCTCCAGCTGTTCCTTATATGTACATTTAACTTTTCTGGCCTCTTATTGCTACCTGTCCCAACTTTTTTGGAATTTGTAGCTCTCATGAAATCCAAAAGGAGCCAATATTTGGCATGGCAATTCAAAATGTCTCACTTTCAATATTTGATATGTCATCTATGTTGTATTCTAAATATAATATTGAAATTTGAAACTTCCACATCATTGCATTCTGTTTTTATTCACAATTTGTACAGTGTCCCAACTTTTATGGAATTGGGTTTGTACAAACTTTTATATTCGATGTGATTAATTGCATTTAATTGATTTCATAGCACCGATGAATCGCATCAAACATAAACGTTTATATACAGTATACATATTACTAACTAGCTCACTAACACCTCTGTCTAACCTAGTTTTGGTGTCTGAATAATTTTTGGGTTGACTGTATACAGTATACGTATGTATGTATATACCTGAATAAATTTAATTAATTTATTTTTTTATTTGTTTTTATTTTATTATTTTTCAGGCTGTCTTTGGAAAAGATAAGATTCACTTTAACAGCCATTTTTCTGGATCAAGCATTTTGCCCAACACATGCAATGTTTCCATTCTGGGAAGAGGACTTCAAGGTGTGTGGATGGTCTCATTTTCTAGCTTCATAATAAGTACATTATACCTCCTGATATGTATAGGTTCAAAATGTTACCTATATTTATAGTGTACATTTAACATTCATAAAGATTCATCACAGACATGATATATTGAAGCTTGATTAACTGACATGCAATTACAGTGGCTCCATTTTCTATAACAACATCAGTGATGTTTTTTTTTTTTTTTTTTTTTTCACATGTGTATTGGTTAGAAAAGTAGGTCAGGTCTTGACCCTGCAGATTTGTAAAACACAAGAGCTCTTGTGAATAATTGATAAGACTCTCCCCCCCTGCTGTAGGGCGTAGAGTGCTGTCCACCTGTAGGAGGTTGTTGGCCAGTGTGGGTGCTGCCTGCCACTCAGACAGAGGAGACCAGTAAGTCATCTGTACTTACAATGAATATGTTTGGGGTCAATATCAGTTGATTTTTGTATCAGGACAGAGTTTTCTCCAGTTTTGTCAAATCCTGTCCCTTGAATCCTTAAATGATTTTTGATTATGGATGTGCTCTTAAATCCTAAAATAAAGCTTAACCATTAAAAAAAATATTTTTAATTGTATATTACAAGATATAACCAACGATGCAATGTTTAAACATGATTTTCAGCTTCTTATTGTTAACACGCTCACCTCTTAACCTTCAAATGGTCTTTGTTTTCTGTTTACACTTCTGGGTTTCAGGGTCTATACAACCCCAACAATTGATTGAGTAATTGTACAAAAAAATATACATTTTTAATCATATAAATAATATATCATTTTTTTGTTTACTTCTCATCTATTCATTAATGCTGTGTTTTTGGAGATATAAAGTACTTTTGTATCCATATACCACACAATTCCTCAACTACACCGTTAGCTTTAGCATTAGCATATGAAATATTTTTTTTTTTTATGATACATTGCATTTATGCTCTAGTACTAGGCCTTCATTTCTGTGCAAAAATTTTCAGATTTATTTCAGATTTTTTTTGACACATGAAGAAAAAATAAATAATTATATATACACATTATATAATTATATATTCACATTTCCCATTGATTTCGATGTGACGAAGACCAGAAGTGTATAATTTTTTTTTTTTTTTTTTACATACCTTCAGAACAACCGAATCAAGCCCAGTTTTTTTTTTTGTGTGTGTGTGTGTATAGATAGATAATGTATGAAAAGTCACAAAATCTTATTTCACTGAGATGAAGGGAACCTTTTTTTTGGTTAAGTAAAAGTCGATTGGGGTCGTATAGACCCAATGACCCGATTGAGGGTTAAGGCCTGTTTATACTAAGAACAATAACTATAATGATAACTATATTAGTGTCCACATCATCGGTGATAATGTAGTTTATTCTAAACACTCTTCAGGTAAGTTCTGTGAACATAATTTCAGCACAACAACTATCCTGCAAGTCAGATGGTTTTTCATTGGCTCTCAATGTAGAAAGAACTGAAAGTGAAATCTTTTCTCTTTGCCGTTATCATTGTAATTATTGTGTGGACTTCAACTTAGATGTTTAATCTGGTAGGCTAGGATGTCCTACACACATTACTACATACAGTATAAAGCAAACCTTCAAAGCGAATTTCATGCTTTCATTGTTAAATATTTTCTTTAAAAAAGTATATTGGTGGTTCAAAGGGTTCATGTTTAAGTGATTAGAGCACACAAAAACAAAGGTTCACTTGAACGTGGATAATGAAGTATATCTGGGCCTTTAGTCTGAATAAATCTTGATGTGTTCATTCTTTTCATTTAAAAAACAATCTTTTGCTTAATCCTTTTTATGGAAATTTTGTTTTGCTCTCAATTCCTTAGACCTTCCCATATTCTTCTAAGCTGTGGGATTCCGTATGATGTGGCAACCAACGCTGTGAGGATTAGTGTGGGTAGAAGTACCTCCCGTGAAGATGTGGACATTGTCGTGGAGGATCTGAGAGACACTGTAGAGCAACTGGAGCGAATGAACTAGTACCATTTGTTCTCTGAGGTGTGGATGTTGCACAATGCTTTATTTAGTCTATAGCTATGTGACTTTGCACTAATTCGATAGTGTCATGAGTAAAGGATTCAGGTTTCAGGGTCATCTTCAGGTTGGGTCATCCACTTTATGGATCTACAAACTATTTATTTAACAAAATATTATATTTGATCTAAATCTTATTTGGTTAAAACATTTGATATATGGAACTGCAGGGAATTTACTGTAGCTGAGAAATAGTTTTTAAACTTTATTTTTAGTTTTTAAAAGCTTGTATATAGGGGTGTGCTATATGAATCTTCTACGATAATATATTGTAATTATTTTAGCAATTTTAGTATGTCACTCACTTAGCATAAACCAAACAAAAGCACAACTTGAGTCCACACTATTCACTGAGTTAGAATGTCCCCAATGTTCAAAATATGGGGGCAAAAAATGTCCCTGAATGAGTTGTTTTTATATCATATCCTGTATTTATATCATCAGATATAGTTAAGCAACAATTTTTGTAATTGTAATTTTTGCCAACGAGTAGTTCCAAACCATCTTAAGTATTTAGGGGTCAGTCTAATATTATATTTAACACACTGTGATGTTTTTCTTTTTTATGGTTTCATATTTGAATGATGTGTAAAAAGATAAATGTATAAAAATAGTTCTAATTATGTTGTAGATGTCCATACCCTATTTTTCAGGGAGAAACAAAGACCTGTTCATTGTAACTTGGCGGCTGCACTTAGTTACTTTGGAATGTGACGGAGCGTGCACGTTCAGAATGAGACGAGATATCTGTTACCAGTGCAACAAAGCTGCAACAGTATTATTAAATGAGCTAAACGGACTCTCTTTAAACGTCTCAGTGCTGATGTGATCTCACCTGACACTGAATCATTAAAGTTCATATGCTCTATCCAAGCTGCCCCATTCTAATCCCTTGTTGTCTTTCCAGACACACTTCTTGGCCATTCAGACAGAAATGAATTTTTAACATGTGAAAGTGAGGCTCACTGTAATCTCTAATCACATGCCTGCACACCAGTCACACACGTTTTAGTAGGTCTGCAGAGGCCAGTTCTCTCATTACTCTTGTGTCTGCTGCCAGAAGAGAGGGCAACCTTGAGCAGGTTGGTAAGCGAGCACAAAGGCAACGGCCGGGCCATGCAGAGCACCGGTGGATTGTGACGTCTTTCATTACCTTTACAGCTCACCGGGCCAGACCTGCTGCTCGCCTCCGCTCACCCAATCCCACCAGCTGGCAGACGTTTAGGTGTCGGCTTCCCCCGTGTGTGTGCATGTGTGCCGCGGGGGGTGGGTTGAGTTGCCCTAGACACCCTCCGAATCCAGTCATAGGCGGTCAGCTCAGGTGCAGAGAGGCAGGGTTGACATGGTGCTCCAAAAGGCCATCGCCGCAGCCCGTGAGGGAGACCTACGGGCCCTCAGGGAGCTCGCCGAAACTGGATGTCTGAACGACGCCATTGCGGATGCACAGGGGGCGGGACTGGTGCACCATGCTGCACGCTGTGGTCAGTTGGACTGCCTTTGCTTTCTGGTGACAGAAGCTGGGCTGTCGGCCGACACAAAGGCCCTAAATGGAGCCACACCTGTCCATGATGCTGCAGCTACAGGTCACACCCGGGAACTAAAGTGGCTGGTACAGGTTGCAAGATGCAATATTAAGGTGAGTGGAGAGTGTAATCCTGTAGTGCCGACAGAGTTGGATTGAGGGTTGATTTCTCTTTCTTCTGTAGGTCACAAAAGATAATGTTAGGAATATGTTCATGCTGTTCTTTTCCATGCAATGAAACTGGAAAAATGTCTAGAGATTTTTTAAGCTTCAAAAATGACAAAAAACACAATATAAGTAGTCCAAATATGACTTGTGCGATAATTCCAAGTTTTTAAATAGCCTGTATTGTACTGTATTGTTATTTTTACACTAGCTCCACCCACCAGAGAAAATTTTAAAAGACACCAGACTGGTTGCTGGGACAGTGGTATGGAGAGTTAGAGCAGTGGTTTTTAGATCTTGACACAACTAACCCGAGTTCGAATCCGACGACTTACTGCCCCATTCTTTTCCCTTTGGTATTTAATAGTGGGAATAATAAGGTCCCAATAAGGCAGCAACCATTTTAATGTTATAAATATGATCTGAATATGTTGTTTCTTACTGCATATTACTCTGAGATGCAAATATTATGTATTATAATAATATTATACTAATATAATATTACGAAAGTTCAAGAGATTTCCACGACGCGTGCATGAGAATTGCGCAAGAAGTAGTAGAAAAATAACGCAATTCTCGCGCATGCGTCGTGGAAATCTCTTGAACTTTCGTCTCAGGCCCAGAAGGAAGAAAAGGAATAGTCGAATAAAGTCGTTATTTTTGTTTTATTTCCGCACAAAAGTTTTCTCGTCACTTGATAAACTTATAGTTGAGCCATTGAGTCACATGGAATATTTAAACATTTTCTTCATTGACTTTCTGGGCCATCAAGTTTCGATCCCGTAGGAGCCTATGTACTGTAGCAGTTATCCACCTCTCAAATTTAATCAAAAATATCTTCATTTGTGTTCTGAAGAAGAATGAAGGACTTATGGGGTTGGTACAGCATGGGGGTGAGTGATTAATGACTTAATTTTCATTTTTGGGTGAACTGACCCTTTAATATGAATGATGCCAAAAAAGCACTGGTTCTCATGTTTCTCCTGTTACTAATTTCATTGCATATGCCCATGCCACAGAAATAGAAATATTGTTTATTTTGGCCTGATACTCACATCATCATATGGGTATATTGCACACAATATTAAGATTTCTAAAGGATCATGTGACATTGAAGGCTGAAGGAATTGCTTCTTAAAATTCAGCTTTGCCACCACAAGAATAAATTCAATTTGTTTAAACAGTTTTGTTTAAACAAATTGTAATAATTTTTTACAGCATTAGAGTGTACTGTATTTTGATCAATTAAATGCAACATTAGTGAGCGCAAGAGACTTAGTTGAAAAAAAAATGTTACCCTCCCCAAAACTTTTAAAAGGGTATTATTCCACAGAAGCCAACATAAGACAGATTTTAAACAACTTGAGGGTAAGTGAAACAGTTTTCATTTTTGGGTGAACTATCCCTTTAATGAAATGCCTGACAGCACAGTTATGATATTTATCCATAGATGAGGTCAATAACGCCCATTCCTGCTAATGAAATACATCCTGGACTTGCCGTAATGTATGAACTTTGTTTATGATGCAAACCACTAACCAAAAGCAAGAATGTTATTGGTAAGCAACACCTGCTCCAAATATAGCACCTTACATACTGTAAGTAGTTCTCCCGGTCCAGAAACTGTAGAACGGTGTAAATGGTGTGATTACATCACTTTCCCTTGCTCTGTTTACTCTTTGCTCAGTAGTATTGCATGACCACTGTAATCATGACCAGATGGGTTAGAGGGGGCTCAATCTAACCGTTAATGCTATTTGTTTACCAGGGGAGAACAGGCCATACTGTTCCTTCGAGACACACACACACACACACACACCTCCTGTTCTCACACTAATGCAAACCAGCGCAACATCGGCAACCTCTTGATCTAATTTATGGCCAGCTGTGTTGTATTAAAGTAGATGTTTTAAGTGCCTTGTTATCACGAACTAAAGTGATAACAATATTCCAGGTTGGTGGTCTTGCTTGGAGTTCATCAGAGTTTTTTTTTAAGCCTGTGCTTGCCACGGTGAGGTCAAAGTTGTACAGGGTTGAATTATTAATGAACGTTTCCTTGGTCTGATTAAATAAAGATGGCTACACTAATTTGATCACATTGGTGGAATAGAGGAGTGATGTGTCAGCAGCAGCAGATTTAGTAGAATGGATTTTATGATGACATCATGAGCTGACCTCTATCAAACTGAATGTTCTTTCAGCTCATTATGAACTCAATGGCAGCATAGTTTTATATTATTTGTATTCTCACTTTTCACATTCAAAAATAATAGAGTGTAATATTAATCATTTTTCCTTTAGTTTCCTCCTGCTTATGCAAACTGAAATCTGGCGTAATCGTCAAATGAACTGTGCATAAAAATCTGGTTTAAAAAACATGCATTGCAAGGTTTTAGAAATGAACTATTTCCATACATGTCAGTTTCATATGATTTTGAAAACTTTTGTACCAGTTTCAAAATATTGTTTGTTTCTAAAAATGTTACGTGGTCTAACCATCAAGTAAAAAGTGATTAAAAAATGTGTTTAGATCTTAATCATTAATATATCAAAATATAAAATATATTTTTCAATGGAAATAAAATTGACAATATTGTGAATTCTTAATTCATAAATAACACATTTCACCTCAAAAAAAGGTTTTATGACTTATGAGACTTATTGGCGCAATCATGAGGTTCTGCATGGGTGCTTTCTATGATATCATATCCTGGATTTCTTTTCAAGAATGTAATTATTTTTCGCCTTAATGCTTTTTCTTCAATATGCTATAAGGACACGTGTCTCACCGTGACATTTTTGCATTATGCTGCTAAAAAAAAGATTTTAAAAATTAACACAAATTAACACCATAAAAGAGGTGTATAGAACACATTGTATATACTGTAAATGGTATGTTTAATGTATTTATTATAAATTAATAGGGCAATGCAGATATTATAAATACATATATAGTAAAAGCATCTGTTCAAAACAGTCACTGTAGGAAATGGAACTATTTGTGTGCAACAAAGAAAGTAATTTAATAAGTTGTTTATGACTATTCGTATTTGTTTGTTTGTATTCAGGATCAGGATTCTGGCGGGGCCACTCCGCTCCATCTCGCTGCTCGGTTCGGGAAAGTGGAAGCTGTCCACTGGCTGTTATCTCATGGGGATGGAGCAGAAGTAGAAACAAACTGTGGTGCTCTTCCTGCCCACTATGCTGCAGCAAAGGGTGACCTCACCTGTTTGAAGCTGATGATCGGTCAAGCTCCAGGGTACAGTGTTACAACTCAGACACTTACTAATGAACGAGATAAATCTCATGTGGCAGAGGTGGATGAATAGAATCATGTGACAAATTGTTCTGGGTCACTAATCTTGTGGGTCACACGTCTTGAGTTATTTGATTACAATGAGTGTATTTTTAAAAACAGATCCAATTACTTTTTGTAAGCACAGCTTAACATTTATCTGAAGCAGATAGACATTTTTGTTTAGTATGGTGATGTGTTATCTATTGATGTATTGACTGCACAGAGCATGTGCCAAAAAAGCTGCTCAGTAATGTTTTTAACAGCTACCTATTATAATTTTTTTATATGATTATGGCCTGCTTTCACAGACAGGGCTTAGATTAAGCCAGGATTAGGCCTTAGTTCAATTAAGACATTTAAATAGCTTTTATACATGTTAAAACAGCTCAAATATGCATTTTTGTCTGGGATTAGGCTTAAAGGGATCGTTCACACAAAAATAGAAATTCTGTCATTAATTATTCACCCTCATGTTGTTCCATATAAGTAGACTTTCGTCATTCATCTTCAGACCACAAATGAAGATTTTTTTTTGTTTGTTTATGAAATATGAGCGATTTCTGTCCCTCCATTGACAGCTATGCAACTACCACTTTGGCTCTTTAACAGTTCATAAACAGATCGTAAAACTAATCCATATGAATTGAGCGGTTTAGTCCAAATTTTCTGAAGATACACAATCACTTTATATTGTGAACAGATTGAATTTAGAAACAGAAGCTCAACTGAACCTGCTTGACTTATGAGAACAAACCTCTTGCGGAAGCTCAAACATGCAGCGTAACACTCAAGAATGAATCTCATTGGCTCTTGCTGATTCTCAAAGGTGCTTCGTAACACACAAAATTTAACCTCATTGGTTATTGAAGAAATTTAAACGTTC